TGATAACGTCCTAGATTTTCCATAAGTGGAGCACAGACTGCATCTGGATGATCCCCAAATACTTTTGTTAGGTGAATGGAAATATCCTCCTTGCTTGTGTGTGTGCAGGTTTACATGTGCACAAATGTACATGTGTGTGCTTGTTGGTGTGTGTGTGTATACAAGCCAAGAGTTTACATGGTCTTTGCATCATGTACATCTACACTCATGGAGTTACCCTGTTTTCCTGTCGCTTGCATCCGTTGCTCCATTGTGTCCTATTCTCTGGAGCAGCAGAAAACAAGCTTGCTCCATCCTCAATAATAATAATAATAAATAATAATAATAATAAATTTTTATTTATAACCCGCCCCTCTGCTAAGCAATCGGGGCGGGGAACAACAAAATTTAAAACAGACATAGTTAAAACTGTTCCTTTCCCCACGACCCCTTCCAATATTTAAACATGGCTATCATGTCACCCCTTAACTTTCTCTTCTCCAGGCTAAACTAAAAGTCAAAGTTGACTGGATGACAGTTCACAACAGTTGTGCCTTTCCAGGGGCAGATGTTGCACCCAAGATGGCTAACAACACAACTAAAAAACCCCCCCAAAACCAACAGCGACACTAGTCAATCCATTTGCACCTCACAGGCTGTCTGCTGTCTTTTTGACACTTGGTTGATATTCATTGCTTACCTGTGTCAATGCGGAAAATTAAAAATTAATTAAAATTACTGTGGCCTGTAATGCAAGCGAATGACTCCGGCTGGGTTTGTGGCAGAGAAAAGGTGCCTTGTGTCCTCCCTGCCTGTCCTCCCTTGACACAATTGTTTGTCTAACAACTAATTAAAGTCCAGTGAAATCTCTCGAAAGAGCAGCATCAGCATCGGGTGGTAATTTCCCCCGGTTCTTCAAGCAAACAAATGAGGATTGAAAGGCTCTCCGTTGCAGCTGGGGAACACCTGAACTTCACCTGCCATGAGACAATACTGTCTCCTGAGCCATTTGCATGTTTCCCCTGGTCATATATATAGAGAATGCCTCCTTTTGGCTTATGATGTGGGTGTGTTCAGAGGGTCCTCCTTTGGGGATCGATGTGCTCGGGCATATTCATTTCCTATTAGAAACATCTTTGGCATTTGCAGAAGCACGTGCTGTATTAAATGATCTCCCTGCAAGGTGGAATTTTATTGAGGAAACTGGAGACAGGTCTCGAGGTGCTCCAAATATGGGTGTTTTATTAGTAAAAGAACTCAATGTATTCTTTTAAAAAGGAAAAAAAATTTTTTTTGCATCTTGAGATATATATGGTATATATATTGGAGCACAATTGCACCCCTTCCCCAGTTTTTCTGGCTAATGGGCACATATGTGGAGCTTGGCCAGCAGGTTTGGCTAACAGGAGTGTTCTGCATTTGTACAATGGAAGAGACAGCAGAAGGTCAGCTTGGGCCTCAGGGTTTAAACCAGGGGTAGGCAACCTTTCCCCTTTAAGGTCTGAGGGACTTCAGCTCCCAGAATCCCAGGAGCTATTGGCCAACATGGGACTATTGGCCAACATGGCTGAGGCTTCTGGGAGCTGAAGTCCCTTGGCCCTTAAAGGGGAAAGGTTGCCTACCCATGGTTTAAACTTTCCCAGCCTCAGAGAGTCTCTTTCTTTGGAGGTTTTTAAACAGAGGCTGGATGGCTATCTGGCAGGGATGCTTTGATTGTGAGTTCCTGCATGGCAGAGGGTTGGTCTGGAGGGCCCTTGGGGCCTCTTCAAACTCTATGAATCTATGAGTCTGTGTCTCTTCTTGGATGAGAGACAGAGACTACACTACACTGGCATAATGAAGGATCTCAGTCTCTGTGACTCAAATTGAACTACTTGCATGTGCAAAAAAGGAGCAGCATCCTTCCCAAGCTCCCATGTGCAATTCCCTAGCTTTCATTCATGCCCTGCAGACCAAAGCCATTCTCTTATGAGGAGAGAAGCTTGGAGCAAGTGAATATCTGGCAGCAAATGAGCAAAGCCCAGCTGGAGAGGAAATATGAAATGCAAGTGACCCATCAAGATAAAAGCATCAGCTGGAGAATTGCATCCCTTCCTCTCCAAGAAACATTGCGGGTGAAGTTTAGGTTTCTGGAGCAGATGCCGGGTGTAATTAGATACGGTTGTAATGCATCATATACTGCAGTCCAGAGAGATTTGCTATGAGGGGATGAAGGTGGGTATTATATTTATATCTCACACCTTTGCAGGTCATTTGCTTGGAGAAACCTGCAAACAGGCCAGAAGATTCCATGAACTCTTCAAAACAATTAATTGGATTTTCCAAGTATGATTACAGAGAAAACAAGCAGAAAAAAAAATGAAGAAAGAGGGTGGGAGAAAATATGGTATATGAACATGGACTAAGCTGGTTTTTTGTGGGTTTTTCGGCTGTCTGGCCATGTTCTAGAAACTCTTCTAGAACATGGCCACACAGGCCGAAAAACCCTCAAAAAACCATGGATGCCGGCCATGAAAGCCTTCAACTTCACATGGGTGAAGCTGACAGTATTTCCAAAATTATATTTCTTTAAATTTTTCGTCTATACAAATTGAGTGGCCCTTCTCCAGGATTCTGAACTATTCCAAAATCCAAAATTTGTCTTCATTAGATAGCAGCACCTATGCTTTCTGATAGTTCAGTGTATACAGAATTTGTTTCACGCACAAAATGATTAAAAATGTAGTGGATAAAATCAACGTCAGGCTATGTATATAATGTATATAGGAAACATAAATGAATTTAATGTTTAGACTTGGGTCCCATCTCCAAGATATCTCATTATGCAGTTGCAAATATTCCAAAATCTGGAGAACTCCAAAATCCAAAACACTTTTGATCCTAAGCTTTTTGGATAAGGGAGACTCAATCTGTAATAATACACACCCATGAATATCTAAAGGAGCCAAATCATTGAATGATAGATGGTAAACGGTTACTTTTGAAATCCTGGAATTATTTTTGTCATCATCAGCATCAGTTCCACAGTCTACTAGGTCTTACAGACCAAAGTTTTGGACCATCAGCAATTCAAATTCTATTCAAGGATCTAGAACTCAGTGAGGCATGTTCAGAAACTGGGGCACCTTCCAAGCAGTGCTGCTTTATGTATATGTAGCACTCTGTACTGCTTTGGTCAGGCCTCACCTGGAATCCAGTTCTGGTCACCAGAGTTCAAAAAGGATTTTGAAAAGCTGGAACTATGTCCAGAGAAAGGCGACCAA